ACTATTGTGGGTGATACAGATAATTAATGTTAAAATGGTTGGCTAGAGATTATGAGAGCTCATCTCAGTTGAGGAACAATATCTTGGACAACCAATGGAGGTGACAGCTAAATTTTACTGCAACCCTGATCTATGAAATGGATCTCTGTCTTGGCTTACTTGATCAGAAACTACTGTAATAAACCACTGGCAATTAAAGTCCTCACATGGTTAAAAAAAGATGCCAGGCGTTAAAGCAAAACAAAATAAAACAAGGTATCATGTAGTTCCTTCCAGGCTGATAGATAGAAAATGTGTCTCAGGACAGTATTTGGTTCTTGCATAGGCATCCATATGCATTCTTTGCTTAATTGGCAGCTTTCTCTTTCTACGTCTTTTACAAGGTGAGCAACTGTCAATGCCAAATCAGAAAGAAAGAAAAAAACCCTACCAAGTTAATGACTTGCACTTTGAGTTCCTCTTCATCAGCAATTGCTTTTTCCCTGCTCACTTTCTCTGTTTCAACTCCAACCACATGAATCAGTTTGTCAGCATCTTCATTCTTGTGCTTAAGCTCCAGCTCCTGAACAGCGAGTTTGGCTTTCAGATCATCAACCTATAAAATTCCACAGTAAGACAAATTCTGAAACACATCAGCTACTCCTGATGAAACATGTTACTTTTCTAGTCTCTCAGAAATGGATTCTGACCACATGGGATTATTTCAGAGAATAGTTGTTCTTAAAATAAAAAAAAATAAAATCAAAGCCATCAGGAAGATGGAAAAAGAGTAGATTGTGGGAAGTAGATTGTGACAAATTGGCACACCTAAAAACCTAACTTACACCATAAAAAATGTGGCTCTGTGGTATCTTAGTATGACTTCCATGTACATCCTAGTAAAATATGAAATATTTATCCCAAATAGTGCTAATACCTATTCAGGAATGCTACGCATCTATCACCTCCTCTAAGCAAACCAAGTAAAATCATCCTGATAGGGTAATGCTTGGGCATTCCTGCCTACTCTGCACGACTGGTTTAAAATTCTTGTCTTCTTTCCAATTAATAACACTTTTTTAGGAGACTGGTTAAATTCAAAAAGGGTTGCAAGAAGAAAAAGTGAACAGCTTTTCACCAGCCAAAATGGACTTGCATATGATTGCGTTTAATAAAACAAAAAGGCCCCAGACATAAGACACTCTTAAATGGCATATACAGCTTCCCCACCCCCCTCTCTTCTACATTTCTTTGGAGCCAGAATCAACTAAGCTAATAATGAGAATGCCATAATACCACCATTTACATGCCAAATATTCAAATGCAGTCTGAAGAGGATTTGTGGCTGGCTTCACGTCTGGCAACCCAACATGCTGAAAACAAGTAGTGAAACTCAGTGCCCCGTCCCAAACCGCTGCAAGCCCAGCAGCAGTGAAATCTCTTTAATTGCATTGCATGGGAGAAAGAAGATGAAAAACAAAGCAACCCCAGGACCCTGATCCTTGGAAATCTGTTCATCCAGCAGACGAATCCTTATCACTTAGTTTTATTGGGGGTGGGGGTGGGGGTGTTGTACTCAGTTCTGTACTCAGCAGTGCAAAACCGTCAAAGTCGCATTTCCCTTACGGGACCTATGTTCAGGAACCAGGAAGGATGGGCCAAGAGGTCCCTCTAAAGAGGAAATCTAGCCAGAGAATGTCAAAAAAAACAAAGGAAAACCAAAGGAAAACATTTGCCACTGTCTAAATTACATATTGATAAGCTACCAGGAAATCAGCCCAACTCTCCAACACTGTTGATATCAGGAGACTGCATGGGATGGAAATTGCTTTCGAACTAATGCATAATCTTTGTATGGAAGCATATTTTCTCCTCTAAACATCCTCCCCACACACACACATAAAATAAAAGAAAACAAGACTCACTCCCTTGCAGCAGCTTTAGAGGGGGATTCTGAACATTTTCTCCCCCACCCCCCATACAGTCAAGGGTCTCCATCTCCATTTTTCTGTATGGTACTCAGGTTCCTTACCTCCTAACCCAGACATGTCAAACACAAGGCCCGGGGGCCGGATGCGGCCCGCGAAGTGGTTTCATGTGGCTCGCGAAGCCATCCTGGAAACAGTGAAGGAATGGCCCCTGCTGCCTTGGCCCTGGCCCAGGCAAGCCGGGAGCCAATGTACAATTTTGTGGTGGCCATCTATGCTGAAACACATTCAGTCTTAGCTCCACAAGGCCGTCTGGAAACAGCAAGGAACCAGCCCCTGCCGCATCGGCCCCACCCCCTGGGTGCATGCTGGGGAGGTGTCACCCTTTGTGAGGAATGAAGAAATGGACCATGCCTTGGCGCTTGCCCCGGTCCCACCCCCTTCTGTCAGAGACCCTCAGATCTGTCCCACTCCTGCCCAGGCCCCCACAGGCACCCTTGACGCGAACGATGTAGCGCTGGCCATGCCCACCCAGTAGGCCACACCCACCCTGGCCACACACACCCCGAGGGCAACCGCAATGCTGATGTGGCCCTCAATGAAATTGAGTTTGACATCCCTGTCCTAACCTGATTGAGCTATTTAAAAAGAACAGATGGGTGGGGTGGAAATTACTCAGCTCCAGGCGGTATATAATTTTATGCAGTCGATTATTGCAGTGACAGTGGAATATTACACAGTGGATTAAAGGTAGTAGTTGAATGTGGTAGCTCATCTGGAAAAGCTTTTAGTTACACGCAATTATCTTTACCATATTATGGGAGAACTTGGCATAATCTTGGGGAGAAAAATATTTCCCTGTAGAATATCTTTTATCTCAGGTTGGAATTTCAAGACTAAACAGAGAATTTTTGTGCTACTCAAATTCTCCGAGACTAAAATAGATCAGCCAAGACAATTTCTAGATGGATCTTGTTAAACCTGAACTGAAATAACCAGTCGCTAAAATGATAATCCTCTTTAGGCAATCAACGAGGGTTCCATGAAGAGATCTGAAAATTGCTACAACCAAGAACATCCAGTTTGCCCACAAACCTGTGAAGCTGTACTTTGGAGTTTCATTAAGCCATTCTCCAGCCTCTCAATTTTAGCAATCAGTTCTTTTCTTTTTTTGGCTAGGAGGTTCTGGTAAAGTTTGATCTGTTCCAGGAAGGTCTTCGGGGTGGTATAATTATAACGCCTTTCAGTGGCCAGGTAGGTCTTGGACATTTCATTGACGGTTGTATGGACGAAGGACATAAACAGGCTGATGGAGGTTTTAACTCCAGGCTGCAAGAAGGACCAGAAAATATCAGGCCAATTTGTGCCACAGCAACTTTATTCTCCCTTTTCCCCTCCCCACTTTTCTTTTTTGTACTTTAGAAGTTATTTATTTATCATGATCTTAATTACATTAAGCCTTTATTATATAGTTTATAATTTTTCACTAGCTGTAACAAAATCTGCACATTTCCATATAGGCAATTATGGGAATTTCCCTCCTGAGTAAGTCCCAGGCCCAACTGCAACTTGATAAAGTTACATTTGCCTAAAGGGAGACAAACTGGATACCAAACAGAGAATAATGGGAAATTATTTGAATGAAGTTGGTTGGCTGCCAAATAGCTTTTCCAACCATTCAGAAGGTCTGCATTTGTTAACTTGAAGGAATTTCACTTGATCAGTTTTAATGTTTCATTACATATATTTCACTCTTTCTCCTTCCTCTAATTTTCTCCACAACAATCATGCTATGAGATGGGGTTCTTTCCCAGAGAGATTCCATGTTGGAGAGTGAGTTTGAACCTCGGTCTCATCGATCCTAACTGAACACTGCCTGATCGATCCTAATTCAACACCAACACCATCTTCACCAACTTACTACTCTCTTGCTCCTTCTTCCAAACAATTTTGGACACTTTAGAACAGTGGTGGCGAACCTATGGCACAAGTGCCAGAGGCGGCACTCAAAGCCCTCTCTTTGGGCGCGTGCGCCATCGCCCCAGTCCTAGGCCTTCAGCTGGGTTTTATAAAACCTTTTCGCTTTAGGCCTCCGCCGCCATGTGCAAAAAAAAAAAAAAGGTTCAATCAGTCAATTTCAACTTCTTGTGGGAAAAAAAAAGATATTGCAAAGTTGGAATTGATTGATTGAACTTTTTAGTCCCACCCAGTTACCACCGCAGCCATGCCCACCCAATGGGACATGCCCACCCAATTGGCCACACCCAGCCAACGGGCCACACCCACCAGGCACTCGATGATGCATAAGTGGGTTTTGGGTTGCAGTTTGGGCACTCAGTCTCTAAAAGGTTCGCCATCACTGCTTTAGAGGAAAGAATAAAATACAGTAACAAACCTACAGTTAAGTCACCTGAATTAGTTCAGGTTATATATAATGAGCATACTGAGCAGGAACAAAAGCAATCATTTGTCTAAGTTTGAATGAAAAACATTTATTTTAGTTCCTATCTCTGCCTAAAGTCAGTGAACCTGTTAACTTTAAAAATTGCATGTCCTGAAAGGCACCATCTCAGAAACAGGCAACTCAGAGAATGCATGTTTTACACCTAATTGCATTTGGAAATTTTAGCTTCAAATACAACTATGACATGCAGTTGATAAGTTAATGTTATTCTGCGGATTTGAGGTTTTGCATGCCCCACATTCCTTTCTCTAAGAATCTGATATAAACACTGTGGTATCAGAAACAGAATTATTAATACTAAATGTACTTAGGAAGAGAACGCATGTATAGCAAAGAAACACAGACATAAAGGCTCTGGTCAATATTAGCTTTTTTGACAAATCCCAGGAGAACACTGAAGCTAATGCTATACACAAATAAAATTACATTGGGCTTATACTGCAGTTTTTAAAAATCTGGAATATATGTCATATGAAAAATAAATAAATGTATCATGCTCTTTCCAGGAAACAAAAGCTCCAGGCCAAAATCTATAAAGTGGTATTTTCAAGCCAACACTATGTGAAGCAGAAACTATAACATAAAAGAGAGACATAATGATAGAAAGAGACATGGAATATATAACTGCTTATGGAGAAAATATCCATATTGGCATCAAAATCCTGCAACAGCTTGTAAAGAGGCAGTCACAACCCTTTCCAAGGTTGGACAGTTGGTAACTAAGCAAACATCTTTTTTCTTATTAAAGCTAAAGGTTTTCCTTGTCTTTATCAAACCCGTTTCCAAAATTTCCTGTCCTTTGAGCAATTCTATTAACATTTGCAAAAGAGTAAACCTTTTAAGCTTTATAGACTTTATTTCTAAGTAAACATATTAAGAATTACATTCTAATACACATATTGCATTTATAAAAATATGCAATAATTATATATTCCATATTCAATACTACACAATCTTCGAACTCCGGGATAAATATAAATCAGCTGATTATTGTTTAAAAAAAATTAAAACAATAAAAGCAACTATTTACAATGTTAAAACAAACTTAGCTTTCGCTGATCTCCTGCCAAACTTAGCGAAAGCTAAGTTTGTTTTAACATTGTAAATAGCTGCTTTTATTGTTTTAAATTTTTTTAAACAATAAACAGCTGATTTATATTTATCCCGGAGTTCGAAGACTGTGTAGTATTGAATAGATATGCCCGGGATTCAGATTTTTACAGTTATTAAGGACATATTCCATATTGTATTTAATTTTCCGGCATCACATGCCTTGTCCATCAGAAAGGCAGGAGACGTAGACCTTACTGGCTAGAAGTTAAAAGTTTTCATCATGGGGATACAAAATGTACTAGGATATGTATGTGATGTGGGGAAATGCCCCAACTCTAATAAAATTTGGGGAGGTCAAAGATTGGCTACTCTTTATATTGCTTTATATTTTAAATGATTATCTGAAACTGCTTTATATTTTAAATGATTATTTGAAACAAACACTCTGAGCAAAATAAAGATTTTCTATTTGAAATGTTGGTGTTGAAGAAGACTCCTGAAGACTCCTGAAGACTCCTGAAGAAGACTCTTGATAGCCAAGAAAACAAACAAATGGATCCTTGTTCAAATCAAACCAGAGTTTTCACTTGAGGCCCAAAGAACCAGACTCTAATTATCTGACTTCAGACACATTATGCAAAGACCCATCTCTCTGGAAAAGAGTGCAATGGTGAGAAGACAGAAAGAAAGAGAAGAAGAAGATGACCAACCGCAAGGTGGATGGATTCAGTTATAGTGGCAATAGGTGTTCTGTGGGAAGACCCAAAGGACTAGGCTGAGGATGGATAGTCATGGAGAAAATCTATCTAGGTGGTTGCTAAGAATTTGCATCAATTTGATCGTATATAATTAATTAATCAATCTGACATACATTCTTTTTTGTCAACTATTGTGAGATACCCACTGATCTTTCTTAGTGATCTGATTCTGCTTAGTTTCCAAATCCAGACCACTTTGAATAGTGAAGCCATCTACAAAGAATGAATTCTTTTTGGACCGAGAGTCACACTTGGTCTTTATCACATCAAGATTACTCCTCAAAAATGGGTGGAACCAGAAGTAAGAGAGGCTGGAACAGAAAGGATTTTCAACTTCTGTCATGTTAACATTGACAATGTACAGTAGTGACCAAGCTTAGATTGGCTTTGGGGATTGTAATTAAGGTTTGGGAGAGGAGCATGGATTGCTCACCACAGTCTGAAGAGATAGAGGAATGCCATCTGAAAGACATCCAAGAATAAGAGTTCTAATCTAGGCAGGAAAAAAACCCAAAACCAAACCATAATAGAACATTGGCAAAAAAAATGGTTCTATTCAGCACCAAGAGATGTTGGGAGTACACAGTGTCTACTTTTTGGAAAGTGGATGCATACCTCAATCCCTTCAATCTCCTCTAGGAATCTTCCACTGACGGACACCAAGGCATCTTCAGGCCATTCGTGGAACCAATCAATAGCTGTGCAGTTTACTACAGCAGGGAATTTTCTGGCCCTCACGCGGAGAGTAGATCCCACAGGAGAGAAACACAGGATTACCTGGGGAGGGAGTGAAGATGCATCAATGTGCATAATCACTACTGTTAGTTACTTAAGAGCTTTTACTACTCAAATGTTATTGGGGAGTCCCTGTAAATCTCAGTATATCAAATTTACACCTGAAAATTACTCTGCTTATTAGAGTGGATATTCCTACCTTCATTTGTACAATACCAAAATGTTGGCTAAAGAATTTTCATATTGCCCCATAGCACAAAACAATAAGTTAGTGTTTCTTTACCTCAACAATCTCACTCAAAAAATTAAATGTCCTCTCCTTCCATCAGTCATGCAATAATAAAGAATATTAATTTAGATATCATTCGTTATACACGTATTTGACTTTTCCTCTTCTATCTCTTTCAATTTAATCTTCACAAAAATCTTGTGAGGTAGGTTAGGCTGTGAATGATGGCACTATTTGCTCATTGTTAACCCATAAACCATGATTTACAAACCCCAGTGCCTTCATTTCATAATGCTTTGCACAAACCAACAAACCATATGATAGTGTAAACAAATATGTTGAACCTGCATCTGGTTGGCCAAAACAATTTGTGGTTGAATGGAATTTGAACTCTTCCAACTTCTTACCTTTAATTGTTTTCGGACTTTGTCGATGAAGAATTTCCAGGAGTTTTCACGAGTATCCTGCAAGCCCATAGATTTTACCTGAGGCCTCATGGAGCTAATAATATTTTCTACTTCATCATCCTGAAATAGCCCTGGAATCTCGCCAGATGCCAAGAGATCATTGATCAAAACCAAAAACTGCTCTTCAGCAACCTGTGAGTCTGTCATAAGAAAAACGGTAGGGGTATTCTTCACAGCAGATTTGATGTACTGGGCAGCCAGATCAGCCTGAATCACAGAACAAATACTTGTTAGTTAAGCAGCCTTTCTATCTTTTTTTCAAGATTTAAAAAATGCTGAATTTGTTGTGGAAAACTTTTCTACAGTATTATGAAAGCTGGCTAGATAACATTTAGAGCAACATTCCATTGGCAAAATCACAGTCATGTTTGTGAAGTAGCATCACTGAATGTGTGAACGTTTCTGACTTTGATTCAAAATAAACCTTACCCCAAAGGTGTCTCTGCTAATGAATTTATGTGAAAGCAACCAACATGTTTCCCGATGGTCCCGAGGTGTCACCCTTACACTTATCAGACAGGCAAGCATAATTCAGCCTTCCCTGATCCAGGGCTCTCAAAATGTGTTGAGAGTACATCTTCCAGAACTCCCAGCATGGAAAAGAAAATGCTAACTGGGAAGTTTGCAATTTTTATTCCTGAGACACCCAGAAGGCACCAGATTTAGACAAGCTATTCCAGAGGATTATCTCTGAGCATAGATCAGGACCAAAATACAATAATTGAAGGCAAAAGCTAAAAGCATAAAAGATGTATAAATGGCTTAATTTAACCCATTGCAGGGTCCACTGTGGTATAGGAAGGGTTATGATCAGTAGGCATGCTTTGTACAAAAACAATCTCCTATCCTATCCCAACCAGTTTCTGGTTTATGGCAGGAATATATAGCCTGCATATCTCATATCTCAGGCAATCCCCTAATCCTATTTTCTCAGCCTCATGCACAATCCCCGGTGCTGATATCATTTGACAGCAAAATGAAGATGTTAGGCAATACAGTTGAAGGTGAGAATCTGTTAAATTCCCCAATATAAATTGATATTAAGGCTCCTCTGGCCAGAACACATCAATTCCTCTCCCCTGTCTTTAAAAAAGAAATGAATCATTTTTGAATCCACCTTTTTGGTGATGTCGCCATGTCACTGTCATACTCTCTGCCAAAAAAAAACAACAAAAACCCTATCCCTGTCTAAAAACTCTGAAGGCCTTATCTCAATCTTCTCAACAATCTAAATAGAACTAATTCCTCTTTTATATTCCTTGATGCTTCATGTTTTATATTCTTGTTTCTCCCTTAGCTCCCTGTCCATCTTAGGTAGAAAGACCTCAAGTTTCTATTTTTAGAAGTATGCCTATAATACATGGCATCGCAGCACACTAATGATATGCTCAGAAATGTTGGTTTGATTACAGTGTATAATTTGTCGGGTAGCGGTACCCAGCATTTATCTTCAGTTTTAGGCCTCTCCGTACCATTTTTGAAGTTTGTCAATATATGCTTGGGCAAATTGTCCTCACCTTGAGGTCTGGAATGCCGTAGCCCTTCTTCAGAGTGATCTGAAAGACATCCAGGGAGCTAATATAGGCTGCCAGCCGAGATAGACTTTGCTTGCCACTGCCTCCAACCCCCACGAGTAAAGCATTGCCTCTGGGAGACTCTAGGATGCGATTGATCCTACAGACATGGGACACAGCATCTTCAAACAGCACCTGCAGTAGACAAAGAAGGCCCGTTCCTAGTTTTTAACCCAACAACGCGGAAAAGATCAAAACAATAAAATTAGATTCTAACTCTCATTAAGAGGGGTGGGCAGGCAAAACCGAGTGACGTTTTGAACAGTGAACAAAGCAAAAGCTGTAGTACAGTATAATCCCCAAGGTAGAGCAACACATTTAACACCCCGACTCCATCCCAAAAAGAAAAAAATGAAACACCAAAGCTCTGCCGAGTCCCACCCACTTTGTTTCACCCTTCCCAGCCAACCGTAGCCCCCCCTTTTTTGTACCAAATCTTAATTGCAGCATCAAGTTTACTCATGGCTCATTCTCATCCTAATCTGAACCATATTTCTAATTGATGCTTCTGGGTTCTGGGAATAAAAACAGTCCATACAACATTTTTATCTTGGCCACTGAATTCATCCTCCAATTTCCATCATCTAATTTATGGTTGTGCCTATTAATTATTCACCAACTCAAACCTTAACTTCATTCTCATTACCCCCCCCATCTTTTAAAACTATGGATATTTGGCAGGATTCCAAGGAATCGTGATTTTTTTCCCCCATTTCATTTTTTAAAGACCTGGAGCCCCTAAAATTGCCTGTAAGATTACAGAATTATTCAAACTTGTCTCAAAATTCACTAACTATGAGATTACTGTGATGGGGGAAAGAAAAGAAAGACGCAAACGATAACAACAAAAAGAAAAGTCTACTTGATAGGGCATAAGAACCTTTGGATGATGTGATGTAGCCTATTATGCTAAACATTAATTTGTGACTCTTTTCACCATTGGTGAACGCTATGACCAGAAGCCTCTTTCTGTGGTTTGGGGGTTGCTGTGTTATCTTTATGTGATGCAAGAGCTTCTTCTGGCTTGAATAAGCAGGAAATAAAATCAATAAGGAAGACTAACCTAAAAAAAAAATGCGTTTATTACAGGAAGCAACTTTGTCTCCTCCAAATGTTTACATTTTGGACCAGAACTGTTACATATCTAAGCCACCGTACTGTAGTTACTGAGCTGTGGTGGCGCAGTGGTTAGAATGCAGTATTGCAGGCAAATTCTTTCTATAGCCAAGAGTTCAATCCTGATGGGGCTTGAGGTTGACATCCTTTCAAGGTCGGTAAAATGGGGACCCAGATTGTTGGGGGCAATATGCTGACATTATAAACTGTTCAGAGAGAGCGATATATAACTCTAAGTGCTATTGATATTGCTAATGACTTTGTATAGTGGAAATTGTAGTATAGGCACCAGTTAGTTTATCCATGCTTCATGTGCTCAGTTGCAGTATTTTCTCTCTGGCTCAGCTCCCAATTCACTTACCAAATTCATCACTGCATTGACCTCGTTGTAGCTATCCAAGGCTTCCACAAGCAGCTTATTCAAACTCTGTACATTGGAAACAGGCAAATACTTTGGATCTCCAATGCCTTGAGCAAAGTGGCAAAAAATGTTGGGCTTTGCAAAGATAATATTTTCACCCAGATCCTGCAAAACAAAACAAAACAAAACAATCCATTATAAACTGAAGATACTTTATCCTCCAATCAGCTGCTTTTTGATCTTAGATTTATTTGAACCATCCAAGACAACATTTGGGATTAATTCTCTAGGGCTAGCCTGCAAGTAAAATCTGGAGAGGCATTTTGGCACAAGAGAAATTAAAGAAAGTTAGCACCTGAGAGCTGGGCTCTTTGCTCTACCTAAACATAACATTTCAAGAGTTCCTAATTTAATGAAGCCTCTGTAAACCTGTATACGGTCTTCTAAAGTAAGCATATTCCTATACCAGATTAATTAACTTTTAACTGCTAATATTGGAAAAGTACATCCTAGTTGAGTCCAAAGTCACTTTTGAATCTCAACTGAAGGAAGAGAAGGAGGTGGGGGGAGAAGTAGCAGCAGCAGTTCCCTCACCTCAAAGAATTTCTTGCAATTTGCTGTCATGACCCTAATATAAGTCTCTTGATCTTTGTCTTCCACAAGTTTGTCATAGTAAACCCTCTCTGCTTCATGCAGCCAGAGCCGGACCAGGTCTGATGGTATTTTGAGGCACTCGTGAGTGGAGAACAGGAGTCCCTGGCAGAGACAAAAGCATTAGGATTGCTTTCTCCTGGGTATGTTACTAAGGCAGAACCTCTGCCACTGTTTTCTGAGAGCATCTTTAATGCAATCCATCTCTATAACAGTATTTCATTTCTTTCCAAGGCCACCATGTGGTGATTAGTGTCCAATATTTTCAAAGGGCACGATAGAAAAGATCTCCCAGAGGCAGACAGGCCAGAGGGAAGCCAGGAACGGGATGTACTGCCTCTGTGACATTTAAACTCCTATTTGAGCTAAGCTGGAATAAAGGAGACATTTGCAGACTTCAAACATATGTATTCTTTGATCGAAGAGGAATTGAGCATTGTCACTGAGATTGCAGGTATCTCTTTTGGATGAGATTTCTCTCAGACATTTTTCAAGGTCTTTAGAGATGAGGGGTTGTAGTCAATCTGACCTAAAGTGATCAGGCTGAAATTGACACAATGAGCCTTGTAAGCAGGGTAATAAGCACAGTAAAGATGGTAAGAAAAAAAAGGACATGGTCGAATAATATTCTGAGTATGAATCTCTCTTTATCTCTCTCCCTCCCACTACCTTATATACATGGGAATATGGATTCCATTCCTATCCCCACTAAGGACAAGGGTATATCATAATTGATACTTGACAATACACTGTTCTCCCACAATCTATTTCCAATTATCTCAAAAAGAGCCATAATTTCTTATTTCTTTTGCCTTATTCCATTGTTACAGCCTCCACATGAGTGTCAGTAAAAAATGCTCTGTCACGATAATACTTTCTCAGAAAAACAATTCTCCCAAGGATTGTGCTCAGTCTTTTAATATAAATAATGCTTCCAAGCTGCATACCTTAACTAACAGCTAATTTGGTAGCATATTGTACTATTTCCACTAAGCTAACTTTGGCCCTTGTTTTTGCAATACCACATCAGTGGAAACCAGGAAGGGCCATAAAAATAAATAAATTCCTTGTTTGATTCTTAGATATATAGACCTCTGTAAAATGAAAGCAAATTTATTAATGATGCTGTTGCATGGGTTGCTGCTGGAAGTATATTTTATCTATGTAAATATATCTTAGCAAAGTATATATATTTATTAATTCAAATACTTATATGCAAAAATTTATATGCAAACAATCACCAGTGAAGATGGTTGCAGAAATATATTTTAAGAATTGGGAAAGAAGTTGGTGTTTTCTCAGGTTATTTGCATATATATTTATCTTTCAATATATCTATGTACAAGGGCATGACTAAGTAATTGAAATATGCATTATTAGGAAAGATATATTCAGATGATTATAAAAGGCAAAAGCAACTTCAGCAATTCAAAATGAACTAACAATGGTTTTCTGCTCACCATGGCTTTTCTATGTTGATATTGGACTTAAGAGAGATGATGGACTGCCAAAGGAAGCTGTTCTAGATGATGTCATAATATATATCAGCTTTTCCTGAATCAGGACATTATTGTATTGTATTGTATTGTATTGTATTGTATTGTATTCTATTCTATTCTATTCTATTCTATTCTATTCTATTCTATTCTATTCTATTCTATTCTATTCTATTCAGTTCCCAATTTCTAGCATTTATTATAATGTAGTTTCAAGCAAATGGCTCACAAACAAGTGATCTGTGTGATGCCATTTTTATTCCAAGGTATTGGAAAATTCATACATACCAAAATACAAAAATGATATTGTACCTGGAATATATTTGAGAGATCCCGGAGATTGAAAACGTAGTGAAATTTTATGGCCGTAGGAAGAAATGTTGATGTAATTTTTTGATGTAAACCTGTTACAAAGAAACATGTCATAATCATACCAAAAAAGCATGGGGTTGCTTGGGATAAGAAACAGGTTATTCATGATTAATTCCTCAGTCAGGATCAACAAAAAGCAATGAAATGGGTTGATCTCCAAACTGTTTAATTAAAAGTATAGGACTCTTGAAAAGCCTTGTCCATTCTAAAATTCTTTTACTTCAGTTGCATTTCATTTTAAATTGTAATAGGAACCAGGTCTGAAAAGTTATAGTAGAGGTTGTCTAATTAGTTAAGGGATTCATAACCAGTGGTGGGATTCAGCCAGTTCGCACCACTTCGGCAGAACCGGTAGCTAATTTTTTGTTGTCCAGGCCCAGAAGGGACTTCCGGAAGCAGCATCCACACAGAGAACCGGTTGTTCACATATTTGAATCCCACCACTGTTCATAACACCTACAAATTCACCTAACTAGAATAATTTGACAATGCTAAGTGGAACTTGAATAAACCTGAATCAACAAAAGTTGGCAGTTCCAAAGAAAAATGATAATGATGTGGTTGTGGTAGCATCCAAGGCGGGAAGTACATGTGACAATCATGCCAGGCAAAATTCCATCCCGGTGATTCTGTTAGTTGTATCTTTTTCTCCAGGCAAAAATACACTATTGGCTAACTGTTACCCCATTTCCCAAACATCCTTTGCACAAAGAGATCTGAATCTCAAAATCTTCAGCATCATGCAGGTTACAAATATGAATAAGATGCCAAGAGGTAGAATGTTAACTGCTTCAGTTCATGCTGCTTTTTGCAGTGCTTACCCAGAGCTGCAGAAACAAGGTGCTGATTGACCTTCTGGACGACCATTGAAACATTCCGAACAGCCAAGTGCTGACCTAAGATAGTACTGTAGATGGTCATTAGGGCATCCTGACCTGGGAAACTCACCGCAAATACACAGAAGTGTCTCTACAACAAAACACAGTTTACAAGATTTTGCAATGCTCCCTGGTAGGCCTCTTAACAAAAAAAATCTCTCACTTTTTAGTCAAAATTTTAAAAAGCAACTACTGTAATGTAAGGGAATCTATTTTATTTTTTGACTGAAATCACCAAAGTGCCATGTCTCCCTCTATTAGGTACCTGAAGCCTGGAATCAATAGTGAAGGATCCAGAAGTTGGGTTCATACAGGCAACATACTGGCAGTTGTGAATATCCTTTAAGGTTAGTTTGTTTCTGTCATACCTAATGGAAAGAAGCAAGATGGAAGGTATTACTGATCAAATATTTTTGAGAAAGCAATGTTCCACTATTCCCTTACTGTTAAGACAGTCTTTCTGTCTTTTATACAAAATGAACAAAGAATGAAGGGTTTCGGTATCTTTTCGTTAAAAAAGCACAACCAAGATTTAAATAACACATCTATCAATGGTCTATGAAAATATCTAACTTAATCTACATGTAGGAGATAAGACGGCTAATATCTTTAAACATACAAGGCATTATGTCTATGGAGATTCTCAGTCATCCAGGTCATAGTTGTCCCAAAGATGCTTTTTCATGAGGCAACTGGGTGTTCTTGTTTTTCTTTGAAGAAATTTAGCTTCTCATCCAAGAAGCTTCTTCAGCTATGACTGGATGGTGGGGAATGGAAGGATTTATACTCCTTTCAGACAGCTGGTCATTTGCATTCTTTTAGAGACTCGTTGAGGCCACCTGGAGGTTTATCTGTGTCGTCATGGTCTCCTGAGTAGTGCCAATGGGTGTGGAGCCTCCTTGGAACTATTGAAAGGACTGTGTTGTAGACTGGAGATAGATGATGTCGTATCCCTCCCCCTCTGTTGAGAGAGGGCTGTTCAGTTTTGACATAGATGGCATCTTTGACCCCTCTTTCAAACTAGCGGTTCTCTCTGTCCAAATGTGGACTTTGCTGCCTTCGAAAGAGTGGCCTTTGTCTTTGTGTCAGTTTGTGTCCGGGTGTTTTATCCTTCGGGTAGACAAGCTTCTGCCTTATTGTATTCTTGGATTTGAAGTGTGCGCGTATGTTGTGTTGGCTGAAGATCCTCCTGAGCTTTTCCGATATTCCTGCAATGTATGGAATGACTACGTTGCTTTGCTTATTGTTTTCTTCTTTGTCTGTTGTGGAGGTGCTCCTGATGGGTCTTTTGGGGGATTTGATGAAGGCCCACTTGGAATAGCCACAAGTTCTGAGGGCTTCCTTGATGTGTTTTAGTTCTTTTTCTTTTCCATCTTTGCTGGTAGGCAGGCCTTCAGCTTAGTGGTGTAGGGTTCTGATAACTCCTGTTTTGTGCTCCAGTGAGGTGGGGAGAATATGAATATTGATCCATGTGTAGGTCCACCCTAAGGACAACACATTCAGACACAAACTGAGCAACGTGATATATGCAGTACAATGTGCAAATCTGTACATTGGGGAAACAAAACAACCACTTCATAAATGCATGGGACAACATAGCAGAACAAATCCATCAGGACAAGATTCAGCAGTCCATCTGCATTTAAAAGACAAAGGCCATTCTTTCGAAGGCAGCAAAGTCCACATTTGGACAAAGAGAACCGCTAGTTTGAAAGAGGGGTCAAAGAGGCCATCTATGTCAAAATTAAAAGAATGCAAATGACCAGCTGCCTGCAAGGAATGTAAATCCTTCCATTCCCCATCATGCAGTCAGCACTGAAGAAACTTCTTGGATGAGAAGCGAAATGCCTTCAAAGAAAAACAAGAAAGTCCAGTTGCCTCATGAAAAAGCACCTTTGGGACATACAGGCATCATATGCATAGCATAGTATTCAAACCATATCATCTTTATAATACAATATATTAATGCATTACAGTATATTACATTACAATATATTTATAATATTATATAATACAATACAGTAGAAAACAAAAGATTCAACCTGAAGATTAGTTGCTTTTTTTGCATGAGGTTTTCTGTGAATCCATCCTTTAGCTATACAGACATAGTAATTATCAATAAAAATGTATTTATACCAATGCCCATGATCCATGTGCTGCCGGATCAAGGTGTGAGGAGCCACAGTGCCATATTTGTCAACTTCTGGCATGTTCATATCGTCTATGAAGTAAATCAGCTTCTTGGTACCAGGGGGGCCAAAATTACGTCCTGATTTCTTCTCCAGAGGCTTCTCCAGAATAGCTGTGCAAACAGAAGACCATTAATCAACAGATGGCACTGGATCTTATCTAAATGATCTGGTCAAATGTCCTTCCATCTCATGCACCAGTTCAAAAGTAAACGTTAGTTATGTAATATTCTTGAGGAGGACAGCTTTCCTTCAGTGCATCAAAGTCTTACAGAGGAGGCAAGTAACCTACATGATAACTTGAAAATATCTTGAGTGCAAGGAACAAGAAGTCCCATATCAGTTCCATCTGTACAGGCAGACCAGTTAAAATACCTTTTCTCACAACCTGTCTAGGATGCAGATATGCACATGCTGTGCTGAACAATGGCAGTGGAAAAGAGCAGGAGTCTCCTTCTCAAATAGAAAGTAAGAGCTGGAACAGGCAATCTGTTTTTTGATGTTCTGGAATGCTATTCCCATTAGGCCTACAGCATTATCGACAGACAGAAATGGAGAGATTTGCAGTCCAATCCATCAGGTGAGAATAAAATTAAGGAATGCCATAGCATTAGCAGCTTATGTAAGCAAACTCTACAAATGTTGGCTTGATTGTGTCAGTGATGGAACTCTTTTTTTCATCTTTCACTAGGGTGATTTGAACTGATAATGAAATTCTTACTATCTATCTAATCTGAAGAAGTAATATTCATTTTAACAATATCCGTTCTTCTCCTTAAATACAAGGACTTTTTCTCGTATATCAACATTGGGCAATTAAGCAATATGAAATAGTTAAATCAAGATAAAGTTGCATTTTGCTGAGAATAAGTACTTCAAGAGATATTTAGGAGAGTCTACATAATATACAAAAGTCTCACTTTTTATGTATTCTCATAAATGAAGGAAAATATTCGTGTCCCAGGATAATGTGGCAGGATTCAATCTGGGTCAGTCACCAGGACTGGAAATTTAGTCTTCCGAGCTTTCGGAATCATTCTGGAATCCATCCTCGAGGACCTTCACTCTCATCAGAATACTCCCGTAAATCTTTAATAATTTCCCAATTTCTTTGCATTAAGATTACAATTTGGAAACCACTTTTGCAGACACACAACCAAGGGTTTGAGGAGGTCATCCATAGCTTTGGGCATCCCTAATTGGTATGAATGAAAATCCATCCAATTTCCCTTACCCTGCAGCATAGCTGAAGTTGTGTAGAAGTTAAAGGGAACAGCTTGCACCATAAAATCATCCAGGTTCAGGGTATCCAGCTTATCCCCCATCAGCACTGACTTTCCAGTGCCTGCATTCCCAACTAACATCACTGGCCATTTTTTCTCCATTAGTAAGTCCATGAAGTAACGAATCCGGATGGTTTCTGTTGTGTGGACCATTGAAGCCTGCAAAACAGACTCCCTGTGAAATTTACATCAATTAAAAAAGCCTGAATTATAATTTTAAAGAAACTGAATAGTGAAATAATTTCTAAGAAAAGCATTGGGTGACTAGAGAGATCTCTCCCTGAAAATAAATGTACACCCAGGCTTGGCAAAACCCAGATGTGTTTTAATAGGATATTGCAAGGAAAAAATATTGTGTATCTGTATCTTCCCATCTCATAGCTGATTTTTTAACTTTAAATTTTTAACTTTAAATTTACATTAATTTAATTAATTTAATGAAAATTAATTTTATTTTATTTTTTTAAAAAAATCAGAGAATAACTGGTTGCAGGCCAAAGTGGAATATTAACAATGTGTTCTAAGCCCCAGAAGAGAAAACCAATCCTGAGTGCCAGCCCTTATATTAGCCATCTATAAGAGGAAGGGATGAGGAAGCTTGGGGAAGTTCCAAAGCTAGCAGAAATGCAAAAAATATACCTTTAAGGCAAAACTTAAAAGCAAAAATATTCTTAAAGAGGGAAAATGCAAAAAGTAGCTTGATAACTGTGTATAAGTGACCACAGAATGATGAAGTTGGCAAGGATGGTGGGATTGGGTCAGCCTGGAACAGGGCAGCTGAAATTCTGCACATGCTTCCATTCTCATTGTTGTTCAATTGCTAAGTCATGTCCAACTCTTCCTCACCCCATGGACCATAGAACACCAGGCCTTCCCCTGTCCTCCACTGTCTCCCAGAGTTTTCCCAAATTCATGTTCGTTGCATCAATTGCACTATCTAACCATCTTATCCTCTGCCATCCCCCTTCTCCTTTTGCCTTCAATCTTTCCCAACATCAGGGCCTTTTCCAATGAGTTCTCTCTTCTCATTTGTGGCCAAAGTATTTGAGCTTCAACTTCAATATCTGTCCTTCCAAAGGACAATCAGGGTTGATTTCCTCTAGGATTGACCCACTCTCATTATTCTTCTACAAATATATGGCTTACCCACAGTAAGATACCAACACCCACTAGGATAGTTAAAGTATCTCTGCAGGACTTCTATTTTAAATTTCATGGCAATCTTACCACAACAGTCACTGTAAATTTTGTTTACTCTATCTGATACATATAGTCCATATTATTTGGTCATTTTTAAAATCCAGTTTTGCTGCAGTGATAATTGTTGTTTTGAAGGATTTAGATATAAACTGTGGGTAAATATATTTGGAACATGACAAGAATCTAGCATCTCAAATTACCATTAGAATATAAATCAACAATCTGTATTTCTCCTGAACGTGTCTCGGTTACTAGATTCGGAATCTTTTGCTAATATCAGACTGATTTTTGTCTCAGAGTACTGCAAAAGTACTCTAAAATAAGCAATATCAGAAGTAGAATTATTTCCAGCAAATTACCTGCAATGGGACATCTGGATCCAATTCAAATTGTGGCACTTTATCAGTCCACGGCATGAATTTCTTTGATTCTGGGTCAATATAGTAGTCAAAAATTGTTCCCTGAGATGGGAATTTTATTGTTTTAAATTCATTCACCCACCACTTACTAAATTCCACACGATAATCCACAAGCTGCAGAGAAAGTTATATATATATATTTATTATGGTTTTAAATTTATTTAAATTAGAATATGTTCTAAAATATGATTTGACCTTAAGGGAATATAACAAAACATCAAAACAAAATTTATCAAAGCTAAATGAGTGTAGAAAATTAAATGTAGGCATGATCTGAGTGAATGATCTGAATCAACTGCTATAACAGCAGGGCTCACTCCACAAATCCCATTCATCTCAATGAGGGTCCAAATGACTACAATGTACTACTAATGCAACGTAAAATCTTTCTTTCTGCAAAGGTGGGCCAGGTGGGCCGGACCACGCTACTTCCATTGATTCTAAAGCAAGGCTTTTCAACCAGTGGTACGGGTATCACCTGTGGTACATTGGTACCTGGCAACCATCCTAGAAAAGTGGTAGCGGGGGAGGGGAATGAGCTGAACTGGTGGCAGCACCGCACAAGCCTGAGCGAGAGATGGCTGGAGCTGCAGGGATGTCAGGGCTCAGTGGAAATGCCAGGATCAGCGCCAGGCTCCATCTGGAGCTCGGCGCTGATCCTGGCGCTTCTGCTGAGCCCAGAAGAAGTGCCGATCAGCTGGAATGTTGCAGCATCTCCAGGGTCTTGTGATTTACATTCAGATGCTTGGCAACTGATTCATATTTATGACGGTCACAGTGTCCCAGGGTCATGTGAAGTGACCAAAACCTGCTGCAACCACCCAGCAGATGGGGGGAATAAAAACCAAACACGCCCCCACCCCCACTGCCAATCCTCAACAGAAATGCTCACAACAATGAAAACCTCGGACAGGAGGAAGAGTGCGACCAGGTGGGCAGGCAGGTGTCTTGCTTGGCTGTGGCTTGGGGGGCACTTATTTCAGTGCCATTGTAACTTTGAACAGTCACTAAGCGAACTGTTGTAAGTCGAGGACTACCTGTACTTCATCACTTTTTTCCTTTTTTTTTTTTGGTCATCAGGTTTTTGACACCTTGCTAGGCGACTGGTGGTACTCGGATGTTGCCATACCCTAAAAGTGATACAATGGGTGAAAAGGTTGAAAAGCCCTGAACTATATGACATATCAATGAAATGTTAAACCCTACGAAGATGGAAGTGATTCTGGTATCAGTTCTGTCAGTGCAGAAATCTCTGAAACGGCTCATAAAAAAAATGAACTCTATGTACTGAATGTTGGTTATTGCGTCATTGGTCTATATCGAGATCACTCTTGAGTTATAATAATGGAAAGCCTGATCGCTTCCATTTCTGGAGATACCTGATCTTGGAACATTGCTCCTCCGAACGCCCAGAAACAAGAAAACACAAAATAGAGTTCGTATAGCTCTTTGGGAGAATCTGGAGGTGTGTTGGTTGGGGTCAAGAGGCATTCCAGTAAATAGAGAATCATTTGCACCACGGTCACTTCAGGAACAGGGGTTATCTTCTTGAATCCAAATTTCAGTTTGTCCAAGCAGGTAGGTAGGTATTTATCAAACAAGATCATCAGGTTAGCTTTTTCTGATTGCACTTCTCGGCGCTCAATCCAACTGCTCACTATCCTGTATAGTGACATACAATTAGTTATTGAATATGCATTCTCATGCACGTAACGTGTACATTTTATATCAACTGATCGATTTTTTATTCCTCTCTTTCTCCCCCCCCCCTTACACTATATCTTTATAGGAATGCCACTTAAATTACAGGGAAGATATTAACATTTAGCTGTTAAGAAAGACATCACGTACTACTCAATAAATACCATCAGTTATGAGCAATGAGTTTTGGTGATTACCTATGAAGCTAATCATTTTTATGTAAACTACATTACATATACTTACAACGTTTGGTAAAAAAATAAAGCATCAGAAGTCCCTTATTTTGGAGAATAAGTCAACATGTTTGAAAGGAAAAGGGGAAGCAAGAATTGACAATCAATAAAGAGTTAATAGTTGACCAATCAGTGCCTGTTTGCCTGCCAATAATATCTCATCCCATCTTCTCAATTCTATACTAAAAGCCAAATTTGTCTCCCCTCTGCACAACCCAAGGGAGGGAGGGAGAAATCATATTGTTGCACTCATCATGGAGGCAGATCTTGTCTTTCACAAGTTACTTATGGTGCCATAGCAACTATACTAATCTTTGGAGCCCTTAACCCAATATAATATCCAGGCACTACAGACAGTGACTCCAGGACCTGGGAAATGCATCAAGGCAAATTTTTCTTTAATGATTGCACTGTCTCATACAACACTGTCTGCCCCAGGTTTTCTTGGGCAGCAAGTAACTTGCTATTGGAACTAGAATAATCTGGAATAGTGCACTAATAGATCCCTGACAACAGCTTCATATGACCAGTGAGGACTTTGTCTGATCTATGATGGGATATACACCCTTCATCTAAAAAGGGATGTACTGATACACTTCAAAGGGAACCAGGACTTACGGATTCCAGCCCAGGTCAGCAGGATTGATATACAAGATTCCTGCTCGAGACACTGTGGCAGGTGTTGCTGTTCTTAGGTGACTGATTTCAAACACAAGCCTCATGGTGGGGTTTAGTGGGATTCGCTCATTGCTGGCTAAGGTCAGCACCTAGGAAGGAGGAAATCAGACAATGCAACTTCCTATTTTCATAAAAGTGAATGCCAATGATTGAGTCCCTAGCTTACTGTGCTGACCTTGTTGTCATCCATCACGGTATTCAAAGATTCAATCCACATAGGATCAATATCTCCATCTAGAACAATCCATTTAGGTCCGCGATGAGTTATATTAGCTAGATCTCGCATTATAGTTGAAAATAAACCTGTCCAGAACAGGGAAATTCTCAGTGAATTTTATAACATGCATATATGCTCAAGTTGCAGTAAAATTTTAGCAGAGAGAAGGAACAGAGCTGATAAAAAACATATATCAACACAAATAAAGTTATTAAACTATTTGTGATTATTATCTCATTTATATAAATCCCCAAGCTGCAAAGTGAAGAAATACTATCAGTTCATCAACCAGAAAACAGGAAAAAAATTACTAGTTGGTCTTTGGCAAAGCCAACATGAACAATTTTCAGAGCACCTAATTCATGGGCCCATTTCAGTTTCACAGATGGTAAAGGAGATTTTTTGTACACGATAGATACTGCTGCAAAAAGAGTTCAGTAATGTGTTGTCAACAGATTTGCAAATCACCAACAGTATCTGCCCTAAAAATCATAAGTGTCTAAATTACTGACATCAACGGAGATATTCTTTAAAGTAACCAAGTTCTTCAGGGCTTTGTACATGAATATTAACAGCAAAGCACTTCAGACAGTAATTGAGCCACTTCATTCTACAAAGGCTGGTGCTTTAAAATCATGTAGAGTTTTGGGGGAAGCTATCACCTAGCCCAGTGGTTCTCAACCTTTTTAATGCCGTGACCCCAACCGGTCGTAAGTCGAGGACTAAACCGGTCGTAAGTCGAGGACTAAACAGGTCGTAAGTCGAGGACTACCCAACCGGTCGTAAGTCGAGGACTACCCAGCCGGTCGTAAGTCGAGGACTTTCCCTGCCCGGGAGCGCCGCACATGCGTGGTTCCGCCCCCTGCGCCGGCCGAGGCGTAGCTGGCAAGCGGCAGAGACGGAGCAGGCCGACTACCAGCTGGCCCAGCCCCAGGGAGGTAAGGAACCCGCCGAAAAAGGGGAAAAAAATGGCGGACAGCCTTGCTTGGCGACCCCCGTGAAATGGTCGATCGACCCCAAATGGGGTCCTGACCCACAGGTTGAGAACCACTGAGTCCTAGCCACTTTCTGGCTCTATATGGGGCTGACCCACAAAGAGAATTAGCCACAGATATGCTAATGTATTCATATTTGCAGCTGGTAGGTGTAAATGGGGGCAAAAAGGCTCCAGCTGGATAGACCAAAGATGTTCATAAACTTTTTACTTAGAACAAGATTACGTATCTTTTTAAGATACTTCCAAACAAGATACTATGCCATTCCAGATAGCTCTGCGTTCTTGTGATCAAGTATTTTTATCCTTGTTTGGCATCTGAGTCAGTTTATTTCCTGGCACAACTATAATTGTTTTTCCAGGTGAATCAGTAGATCTCTGCAGAGCGGCAGATGGGCCATTTCCTCAGCTGGGAAAACACCTGCTTTCTAAATTCCAGGCTCACTCCAATTGACAGAGGTTCATCCCCCAAGGTGAAGCTAAGGAGCTTTGATGTCACCATTCAGCATTATTTTAAACTAGCTGTACCCGGCCACGCGTTGCTGTGGCTCAGTCTCAATGCGCCATTGTGCATTCATCCCAAACAATAAGTTTGCATTTCTGCAATACTTTTCTCATGCCGGATGCTTTGGAAATGTTGCACATGGGAGTTTCAATGAATTGCATGTTCAATGGCAATTTCAAAGCGTCCAACAGATGGCGCTGTTTTTTTAAAAAAGCATGTTTTTATCTGTCACAGGTGTGACATCTATATAATATAGGTATATAAAAACACGTGCGTATTCGAATGCAACGTTGTGTCAAAATTTCAAAGCAATCGGTGGAGAACTTTCAGAGATTTAAGATTTTGAACAAACGAACATTTACATTTTTATTTATGTGTAGAAGATGGTGCACTAAAGGAGACTGCTAGCGTCTTCCATTTTAATAACTAGAGAGGGAATAAAGGAAGAAATATGCTACATTTACAAATGAGGAAGCTCACTGCCTCTCATCTCCTTTCTTTTGATCTGCTCAGCTGATCATTGCCCTGGGCTCCTCTATTTGGGAAACAAAATTCTCTTGGGAGTCTTCTCCCCGCTTCTCCCCCAGACACTTCCGCTTTGCGAAAGATTCCAATCCTCTGTCCATAGGCAGTTCTCTATATCTCTTTCCGATCTTGGACCTTGGGTAAAGATGTCTCCCCTCTACAACTTAGCTTCTCTGGCTGGACACTGAAAACTGAACAATACACTCACACTGAATATCCAAATTTTCTCACCAGCCGTTGCCTTCTACAACACTCTATAATTCATTTTCTCTTCTCATTTCGCTCCCCCACCTCAATTTTCTCTCCTTCTTCCTCTCACCAAGTTTAGGTTACAGCAGCAACATATCCCTCCAGCAACTAAGCAGATAAATGTCCCTCCCAGGATTCTAGTCCCTAGCATCTATATATAAAGCGGGACCAATGGAAATGCTTTCTGTCTCTGCCCTACAAGAGTATTGGCTGGCAGCCAGTTCAGCCTATCAGCCTGTGTAATGGAGTACCTGCACTTCCAAGTCAGAATTGAGTTTCCTTTCTCCTAATTCTCTCTCCTTTTGCTAACTCACGCCAACATAACAGTAATCATACCAAGGCGCAAAAAAACCCCCACCCCACTTGCATTAGTTTAATAAAGAACTGGTTGGCTTATATGTTGTTTTCAAAGTATTGAAGCTGCTTCCAATGAGATTGGTCTCAAATAATTTCAGAGGTGTTTCAGGGAATTTGGAAAGAGGACAGAAGAACCCTTTCTTAGAATAATTAAAATAAACCTTATTAAAGTTGGCAACTATCATATAGTATATGCATTTGGTATCTTCCTTAGTTATAAGCTTTTTTTATGTCAAGCCATTAAAGGGATTTGTAATCAGGTATACCATGGATAAAAAAAAAATAATCCTGGTTTTTTTGTTCTGTTCGAAGTTGGCTCAAATTACTGAAATAGGGAAGAGTTTATACACAGTGCAACAAAGGGGTGATTTTTTAAAAAGAAAGTATTAGAATTTTAAATAGCAGGAAGGCGTAATAAGTTCATAACTGCAGTATGCAATTTTCCCAAATGAAATACCTCTGAGTTTCTTAAGCAAGCCATTATTCTAAGTGAAGATAAGTGAGTTGTAATTATTATTTTCAGTGGGAATCTAATTTTGTAAATATAAATATATATCCTCCAATTTTTAGAATTTTAAAGGATATATATATATATGTAAGAGACGTAAGCAGCGGGAAAGGAATGAGGTGGAGAGATACGAAGACTGAAAGAGAGGAAGAAGATTCCAGAGAGACAACCACTTGCTCATGGGTGAGGGAGGAGGAGGGTAGGTTAGTGAGTC